TTCCTGGATATTTTGTGTAAGGGAGTTTTTGGATTTAAAATTTTCTTTGGTCGATGAATCTAATTCTCCTAGTGTATCTTCAACCCTGAGATTCTCTCTTCCATTTCTTGTGTTCTGTTGATTATGCTTGCGTTTGTAGTACCTGACCATTTTCCCAGCTTTTCTATTTTCAGCATTCCTCCAGACTGTGTTTTTTAATTGTTTCTATTTCAGATTTCAGCCCTTGCACTGTTTGAATTGTTTCTTGCAATTTTTTGTTTTGTCTTTTACTCCATTTCTTGCACTTTTTGGATTGTTTTTTCTTTAATCTCTTTAAGGAATTTTCTCATATCCTCTTTAAGGGCCTTTATCATTTCCATGAAGTTGTTTTTTATGTTATTCTCTTCTAGTTCATTTGTGTTGGGGTGTTCCAGTCTTGTTCGTGTAGGGTCTCTGTACTCTAGAGGTGTCATATTGGTTTTTCTGTTGCTCTTTGTGTTTATATATTGTCTCCTTCCCATCCGTTCTTGCAGTTGGTTCCAGAGGGTGCCTCTTCCTCCAATGATGGGTGTTGGACGTGGGTTCCCTTCTGTTGGGTGTCGGCAAGTTCACTGTTGTGGTAGCTCTCCTCTTCCTGGTCTCATGGGTGGAAAAATGGACTAGGATGCTGGTGTGCTTTGGATCCCACTGGGATGGATGGGAGCCCCAGGGGTATACCCCAGGCACAGGAGTGTAGTCTAGACACAGGCCCTGATAATCTTTGTCACATGGGTGGCACAGGAGATTAGGATGCTAGGGTAAGTTTGCTCCTGCCTCTGGGATGGAAGCCGCTGTGGCAGTCCCCGAGCTCAGGCAGCCAGTCTAGTCCTAGTTCCGTGGGTGGAGCAGGAAACTATGGTACCTTGGTTCCTGCCGCCTCTGCTGGGATGGAAGCCTCAGTGGCAGAGCCCAGGCCCAGGTAGGTGGTCCGGAAATGGGCCCTGGTTTACGTGGTCCTGTGGGTGGGGCAGTAGACTCTAGCTGTGTTTTTATATTGCCTTCTTCCCAATCTTTCTTTCAGTGGGAGCTCGTGGGGTCACTTCCTCTCTTGGTGGGTTTGGGTCTAAGGATCCTTTCCAGTGTGTTCAAGCAGGTCCAATACTTCAATGGGTGCAGGTGTGCCTGAGACACTCTCGAGCACAGGGCGGAGACCAGAGGATACTAAGCACCAGGAAGAAACTTAAGCACTTAGGAACTTAAGCACTGGGAAAGGACCTGTAGACACTGAATACTGAGGTGTGGGCAGATTCAGGGCGATCCTTCTGGGGAGGGCAGGTCCTCTCTAGGTGCAGAAAACTCCTAGGGAGACAGAGTTGGGGGATGTAGGGAGTTGGGGCTCAGAGCAGGGCCCCCACTCACCTTAAGCCCCAGCAAGGACCAGAAGACACTGAAGACTGAGGTGTGGGCACATTCAGGGTGGTCCTTCTGTGGGGGGGGCAGGTCCTCTCTAGGTGCAGAAAAGCCCAGGGAGACAGAGCTGGCGGATACAGGGAGTTGGGGCTCAGAGCAGGGCCCCTACTCACCGTAAGCATGGGGAAAGGACCAGAAGACACTGAAGACTGAGGTGTGGGCAGATTCAGGGTGATCCTTTGGGGGGTGGGGGCAGGTCCTCTTTAGGCACAGAATATGCCCAGGGAGACGGAGCCTGAGTAATTTTGATATTCCTCCACTGTAGTAAACTCAATAGATCCTCAGAAATGAACCCATATAACATCTATGAGTAGATTAAATATTAATTGAAATTTACATCAGAATACAATGATAAAAAACACAAAGAAAATGTTCCTCAACCCTATCTAGACAATAAGAATAATGTTTTCTGATAGACTTAATATTATGATTCAGATAAGTGTACCTGTTTGCCTAAAGTGTATTCAATATCTTAAGATAGCTTTCTTCACTGTCAAATGAAAGGAAAGAGCTATTCAATTCTTCAGAAAAGATAAGGAAGCACATTATTAACTGGTTTTGTGTCCTGTGACAATAGGGAATTTAAAGGACTCATGGTGGATTGAGGTTTAAAATTCAAATGGATACAGGACATGGTATCCAGTTGGAAATAGAAAATAAATGCTGATGTTCAGTCAACATTCTTCTGTTCATGCTATTAGAAACCCAGGCCTATTTTGAGCCATACATATACAAGACTTTCTCTGAGTCTCTGAAGAGAATATTAAGGATACATTGATTATGTGTGTTTGCCAAGGAGAAGACTTGGCAATGCCAATCAAGAGCGCAGTTTCCAAAGAGCCAACGTGTCTTTCTGTATAGGAACATGGTTGTCAGTTTCAAGAACACTGTGTGTTTGGTCGGTATTTTTCACGAGGCATCCTGTGTTCTCCTTGTACAGCATTGTTCACTTAGCGTGTCTTCACTTAGTTCCATTGTGTGATATGTTCTATAAACAGGGCGCCATTTGAAGATAGCATATAATATTACTTGACATAAGAAATAGAGTAGTCAATTTGTTATTTATTTCTGGTATATGGTAATGTAGGCACATGTTGGTCCTGGAGTCTTTTTATAGGTTTTTAGAACTTTTTTATGTAGACAGTCATTCTCTTTGAATAAAAGCACAAACTTTAAAAAAAAAGAAATAGAGTAGTCATGCCCCCTGAGACCACATGTTCTATTATTTTTAACTTTGATCTTCTGAACCTTCATTCTTAGGCAGCTGTACTGAAGAATGACCTTCTGGTCCTGGAATGGTGCCAGCAACATAATTAGATGAGTCACCTTTCCTGGTCAGATCCCTAATTTTTTATTAATTTTTATTTGGATTAAAAATCTTATTTTACATAATCCCTGATTTCTGTATCTTTTGCCTCAGTTCTGGAGATCTGTACAGACAGGAAATGATGTAGGGGAAGAAACTGTCACTTGCTAACCATAGAGGTCTGGAGGTTTGTATAGAGAGGCAGGAAGTGATGTAGCTGGGCAGGAAGAGGATACAAGTAGGGCAAACAAGAAATTGCTCTCTTCTCTGCGATGGGAGGTAAAGTATGCTGGGCTTGCTCTTTCTCTCTGATCTCTCAGCATTTCCCTCTATATCTGACTCCAGTCTTTTATTATCTAGACCAATTAAGAGCTTGTTTTACAATTAAGCATCAAGACAAAAAACAAATAAAGTACAATAAAATCCCTATGTTCCAAAAACAATATGGGTCTTATCTCTTATTCTATAGGAAACATTCAAATTGGGTTTCTGACCTACTTGTCTGTAATACTTTGAATATATTATATGAATCCAATCCAGAAGCACACATACAGGCCGTAGCATCCTGGATGGCTGTCCATAGGTCAGAATGGTGTTTCAAAGCTGCTGCATAGGATACTGCCATCAGAAAGTGTCTGCACAGCCATGGCACCAAGGACAGACAGCCTCTGAATGGGGGAAATTGTCTGTTCCCCATTCTTTTCATCTAGAATTAACATACATAATGCAGTAACAAAGAAAATATTAAACAACAAAATGCTAAATCCATCTAAGTCTGTAAAGGTATTTAGGAGACGATATTAAAAATGAGAAACATCATTCAAACAGTTTATGAGAAAAGATCAAAATTATACTGACAGAGAAAGCCTAAGTTAACTTCACAAGAGATTCCATCCCAACACATTGAAGACCTCAAACAGTCAACAAATAAATCCAGCAAAGCAGGTTAGGATGCAGGGAGAAAGGATCCTCTCCTCTGGACTGATAATGAAATCTGTCTACTGTGGAAATTAGTGTAAGGTTAGATCAAAAATTACAATTCACACCAAGTGATCCCTCTATAACATTCCTGGAAATGTAATCAACATGTGTAACTCAACATCCCATAGACACATGCACATTAATTGCCGGATAATCTAGGAGAGACAAGATAGGGAAGTCACACAAATAACATCATTAGAGGAATGAAAAACATATGGGACATATATTCTTCCATAAATAACAATGGAAGTCAGTGATTTGATATCCTATCTGAATATGATTTCTCTGTCATCCCTAATAACACATGAAAAAAAACCTAATCGATACTGATGCACAGACTCTTTATTAGGAAATGAGTTTTCTGCATTCCAACCAATGAAAGTTCTTTTTATTGGCAAAGTCTTAAAAGAAGAGACTGCATCTGGAAATTAGATATGATACCAAGCAATCAGAACAAGTCTGATGAAACCATAGTTCTGTATGTATAAATGCTTCCTCACAAGACACTAAACTTAGGAACTGAATAGCAGACAGGGAGATTGTGTTTTAGAACTTGGTTTGACTGTAGACATCTGCAATGGTATGAATATTGGACTGACTACGTCGGTGCGGAGTCACAATAATTCATAAATTTTCTATTTTTGGCATAATGACAGGTTCTCCAGAAGGCAGGAAACAAAGTTAGTTTCGTGAGATTCTGTACATGTGAAGGGCACACATTAGCGTATGAACAATACAGAAAGTGCTCTGCTCCTGGCTGAATGCTATATGCCCTTCCCTATCTATCATGGACAACAGTGGACATATTGGTCCTTGACTCAACTCAAGCTCTGAATGACATAGGTCTTTCATGACCATCTTACCTCTCACTACAATGAAAGTTCTGATGAAATCCACTGAAGTAATTCCCAATGGTATTCATGCACATGGGTGTTGAATGAGGATGGGGTCTAAGCTGTTTAGCTGGAGATTGTCCCTGGGGCATTTACACTATGGATGTGAATGAAATCACGGCACCTGAGGCTGGAGACCATGCTCCTCACAACATGTTTTCCTACTTGTGTTGATGAAAAGTTTGCAGACCTCAGAGGCAGATCCTTAGGCCAGAATTTTCCAGATGTGTCAAGGAAGCAGAGCACAGAGTGGCAAAAGATAATTAGTATATATGCACATACTCCCCAGTCAGCAACAGCAATAAAATAGGTACATAGACTGAAATACATGTGTGTTGTTTCTTGCATGAGAAATGGGATTCTTCTCTGCCCAATCTTAGACCTTGGAAGACATGAAGAAGCTGAGTGTTTTCATTATTTTCCTCTTGCTCCTGAAGTTTTCTCTCATCTTGTGCAGTTTGACAGAAGCCAGCTGCTTTTGGAGAACTAAGCACAATGAAGATTATGAGGGAGAGTTATGGACTGACTGTGGTTTTGTTCTTACCATGGATCCATCACCTATAGAGGATGATTTCTACAGTAGTATAATTGATTTCAGGTAAGTCATTAGCTTCTTTGTTTCCTGCAAAAATATCATGATTTAGAAGTCTGTGGCTGGATGAAAAAAACTCCATGAGTTTCTGTTCCATATTTCCCTCTGTAACATTAGAAAATAAAGAATATTTTCTCTGATATTGATCATTATTTTTGTATTTTCTAATGCATTTCATTTTAGTGTGGTTTTATTACATTAGATTTCAATTCACTAATCTGGAAGGTTAGAGAGACAGGTTTCTTTTTTTTGTCTCCTCATGGATCTCTGTGTGTTTAAAATTGTCATTGCAGAGTGTCTCCTGACCTGACATGAAAACACAGTGTATAGAACTGGCATAAGTTCAGTATGAAGAACCTATATTACAGTGTCTCTTCAAGTGTGTGTAAAGGATTCCTAAACAGCACGTATTTCAAAAGGCCTTCATGAAGTGGTTACTTAATTTTGGTCTTTAAAAATAAAGTACATTTTCATACATGGAAAGAGAGATGTGTGACTAGTATGATTACATGTCAAATATTGCAATGTATTTGTGAATACACATATACATTGCATTAAAAATAATTTCTATGCCTGTCCCTAATGACATTCAGGGTCTGGAAATGAGTATGGATAAAACAGAATTGCCAGCTGTCAGATTCTATATCAACACATTTTTGCTTCACTTGTGAATATACCCAACCACAGATTCGCAGCATGATCAGATAGGTGATGAATATTTTTTAATGAATGAGTAAATACAACATTAAGAGAATTATATGAGAACTAAAGTATTCTTTGAAAAGGACATGTGATTTGTCTACAGTTTGTTCTCAGATCCTGATTGTCATGTGTTAACACTGGTGACTGCAGAGCAGAGAGAGAATGGACACGGGATTGAAATTTCTCAAATTTGCTGCTATATAAATATGTCTGGACTCCTTTTTTATCTATGTAGTGAAGTTCTCTGTGCTTTCTGTTAGCTGACTGCCATTCCACATCTCCTTTTATGTGCGTTTTGTAGGAATTTTACAGAATTAAACTGTTAATTTTAATTAAACTGAGAATTTTACAGTATTACAACTGTTAGTCCCAGTGCACTGTGCACACATTTATTCTGATGGAGGCTTTACATTTTTATATTTCTGGTCAATAGGGTTTGCGTTTCTATTGTCTCATCTTTGCTATTCTACCTCAAATTAAAAATTCTCAGTAATGACACTTTTTAAAAGTTATGTCCTATACTTTTTTGTAAAATTTATTTAACTAAATATCTACATATTTATCATATGTATATATACTATATAGCATTTGGGGCTGGATTATCTCACAAATGGGACAAGTTCCATCCATTAGCCTGCACATTTCATGATTTCATTATTTCTAGTAACTGAGTAATAAATCATTGGATAAGCATACCACATTTCTCTAGCCATTCTTCTGGTGATGTCCATTTATGTTGTTTTCCATTTCTGGCTGCTATAAAAATGCCAGTATGAACATAGTTGGGTCAGTGTCTTTGTGTAAGATGGTGACTAAGACTGATATGGCTGAATCTTGAGGTAGATAGATTCCCAATTTTCTGAAAAAGAGCTGTACAGTTTTTCAATGTGGCTATAGAAGTTTTCATTTTATCAGCAATGTAAGAGTACTCCTCTTGCTCCATGTCCTTTCCAGCATTACCTGTCATTTGTGTTATTGATCTTACATTCTGACGGATGTAATATGGAATCAAAATAGGTTTGATTTGTATTTCACTGGTACCAATGAATGTTGAACATTTCTTTAAGTGTTTTATAGCCATTTGAGATTCATCTGATATGAATTCTATGTTTAGATCTCTACCATATTTTTAGTTGGATTGTTTGGTTTGTGTCTAGTGACTTGAATTCTTTATGCATTTTGCCTACAATCCTAAGTGGAACTGCGGAAAGTCTTTCCCATTCTTTAGGTTTCTGTTGTGTCCTACTGATGGTGTACTTTGCCCCTTGGCTTAAAACAATTTTTCAGTTTCATGAGGTCACATTAATTTTTTGTTTGTTTGTTTTGCCTTTTTATTACTTTAATTTTTAAAAAGCTTGCTTCACATGTCAATCCCAGTTCCTTCTCCCTTCTCTCCTCCCGCACCCTCCACCATCCCCCGCAGCCTCCCACCCTATCCCTGCTGCCTTCCATATAGGGGATATCCAGAGTCTGTCATTTCACTCAGGGCAGGGTCCAGGCACTCCACTAAGAGTCCAGGCTGAGAGAGCATCCCTCTTTGTGTTATGGACACACTAAGTCCATTTGTATGCCAGTGATAAACACTGATCTACTGCCCAGGGCCCCATAGGTTGCCCAGGCCTCCTCACTGACTCTCACACCCAGGGGTTATGGATCAGTCTCATGCTGGGGTCCAAGAGCTCCCCCTTGTTCAGATCAGCTGTCTCTGCTGGTTTTGCCTGCCCATTCTTTGCCACTTTGCTCATCGCTCCTCTTTCTGGGTCACTGGGTTCTGTGGGTTCAGCTCAGTGTTTAATTGTTTGCCTCTGCTTCCAGCAGTCACTGGATGAAGGTCCTAGGATGGCATATAATGTAGACGTCAAGTTCATTGTCAGGAACGGGCATTTAAGGTAGTCTCTCCACTATTGCTTAGCTTGCCAGTTGGTGTCATCCTTTTAGATTGCTAGAGGTCTCACTGGTGCCAGATCTCTCTTCAAACCTATGACTCCTTCTATTATAGTATTTTTCATCCTGCTCTCCCCTTATTCTACCGCCACTCAACCTTCCTGTTCCCCCATGACCTACTGTCTCCTCCTCTTCTCCCACTCTCTTCTTCCCAGCTCCCACTCCCCCTACACACACCTCCTGCCGTGTTCCTAATCTGTTCAGGAAATCTTGCCTCATTCCTCTTCTCTGGGGTACCATGCATATCTCTCTTAGGTTCTTTCCTGTTTCCCAGACTCTCTGTCAGTGGCATTGCAGACCAGAACTATCCTGATCCATGTCTAAAATCCATATATGAATGAGTACATACCATGTTTATCTTTTTGTGACTGGGTTACCTCACTCAGGATGGTTTCTTATAGTGTCATCCATTTGCCCACAAATTTCAAGATTCCACTGCTTTTTTCTACTGAGTAGTACTCCATTGTGTAAATGTACCACATTTTCTCTATCCACTCTTCAGTTGAGGGGCATCTAGGTTGCTTCCAGGTTCTGGCTATTACAAACAATGCTACTATGAACATAGTGGAACAGATGTCCTTGTTGTATGAATTTGCATCTTTTGGATATATGCCTAAGAGTGGAATTGCTGGGTCCTGTGGTAGGCTGATTCCCATTTTCATGAGGAATCTCCATACTGATCTCCAAAGTGGCTGTAGGAGTTATCACTCCCGCCAGCAGTGGAGGAATGTTCCCCTCTCACCACATCCTTTCCAGCATAAATTGTCTTCGGTGTTTTTGATTGTAGCCATTCTGACAGGAGTAAGATGGTATCTCAGAGTTGTTTTGATTTGCATTTCCCTAATGTCTAAGGATGTTGAGCACTTTCTTAAGTGTCTCTCAGCCATTTTAGACTTCCCTATTGAGAATTCTCTATTTAGTTCTGTACCCCATCTTTTAATTGGATCCTTTGGTGTTTTGGAGACTTGCTTCTTGAGTTCTTTGTAAATTTTGGAGATCAGCTCTCTGTCAGATGTAGAGTTAGTGAATATCTTTTCCCATTATGTGGGCTGCCTTTTTGTCTTGTTGACTGTGTCCTCTGCCTTACAGAAGCTTCTCAGTTTCAGGAGGTCCCATTTGTTAATTGTCAATCTCAGTGTCTGTGCTACTGGTGTTATATTGAGGAAGCAGTCTCCTGTACCAATTCATTGAAGAGTATCTCCCACTTTCTCTTCTAAGAATTTCTGTGTGGTTGGATTTATGTTGAGATCTTTGATCCATTTGGACTTAAGTTTTGTGCAAGGCGATAGACATGGATTTATCTGCAGTCTTCTACATGCCAATATCCAGTTATAACAGCACCATTTGTTGAAGATGCATTCTTTTTTCCTTTGTATAATTTTAGCTTCTTTGTCAAAAATCAAGTGTTCATAGGTGTGTGGGTTAAAATCAGGGTTTTCAATTCAGTTCCATTGGTCTACCTGTCTAATTTTGTGCCAATACCAAGCTGTTTTCAGGACTATAGCTCTGTAATAGAACTTGAAGTTAGGTATGGTGATGCTTCCTGAAGTTCCTTTATTGTATATTGTTGTTTTGGCTATCCTGGGTCTTTTGTTTTTCCATATAATGTTCTTTCCCGGTCCTTGAAGAATTGTGATGGAATTTTGATAGGGATTGCTTTAGGCAAGATTGCCATTTTTATTATGTTGATCCTACCAATCCAAGAGCATGGGAGATCTTTCCATTTTCTGGTATCCTTTTTGATTTCTTTCTTTATAGACTCAAAGTTCTTGATATACAGGTCTTTCACTTCTTTGGTTAATGTTATCCCCAAATATTTGATGCTGTTTATGGCTAATGTAAAGGGTGATGTTTCTCTGATTTCTTTCTCAGCCACTTTATCATATATATATATATAATAGGGCTACTGATTTTTTTGAGTTAACCTTGTATCCTGACACTTTGCAAAATGCGTTTATCAGCTCTATGAGTTCCCTTGCATTTTTTCGAATCACTTATGTAAACTATCATATCATCTGCAAGTAATGAAAGCTTAACTTCTTCTTTTCCTATTTGTATCCCCTTGATCTGCTTTTGTTGTCTTATTGCTGTAGCTAGAATTTCAAGTACAATATTGAAGAGATATGGAGAGAGTGGACAGCCTTGTCTTGTTTCTGATTTTAGAGGAATTGCGTTGAGTTTCTCTCCATGTAGTTTGATGTTAGATGTTGGTTTACTGTATATTGCTTTTATTATGTTCAGGTATGCTCCTGTTTTACCTGATCTCTCTAGGACCTTTATCATGAAGGGGTGCTGGATTTCGTCAAAGGCTTTTTCAGCATCTAGTAAGATGATCTTTGTAGTTTGTTTATATGGTGGAT